CGAGTGTGACCCGGGGGGCTCCGCAGCCCCGAGCCCGGCCCTGCGCCGCCGGGACCCTGGGCTGGGCCGCCGGGAAAGGGCCGCGGGCAGCGGCAGGAGGAGGCGGAGGAAGGAGTTTCTTGAGCCTCCTCGACTCCGACCGGGGCGGCCCGGAGCGCTGCCTGTCCCCGGGGAGCGTCCGGCGCTGCTGCACTGCAGACAAGCCGCTGTGTCCCGAGGGCCGCCCCCTAGTCCCGGTGATGCGATTAATGGCACTGCTCCTGGCATCGGCGTCCGCATCCTCGGCTCGGAGCCGTGTTTCCCGGAGCGGGTGAACCACGCGTTGTTCCGCTTCTAGGGCCAGATCAGATCATCAAGTCCGGCCCTGCTTGGGCAGAAACAAGCACCTACCTTGGACGGCTTGAGCTTTCTCGGGGCTTTCCGTGGGTCAGAGGCGTTATAAATTGACTTCTATTTTTTTTCTTAATTTATGTTTCCGCACAGGGGATTTCTGGATATAGAGAATGGAGACTGCTGATTTACAGAAAATGCACAGACAGGCTCTGGTTGATTTTCTTTTTTCTCTTTTGGGCTGGTTTGGTAGGTATGCTAGCTGTTAAAAGAGAAATCCAGTTTAGGATGCTTGTTTCCTAGCCCTTGAAATAAATCTGAATAAAAATGTGGGCAACCTCACAGAATTTAGGGGCTCCATATTTGTGGATGGATCCAGGATTTTCTAAAGGGGAGGGGGGCAGGAGCAGCAACCTGTGCTGCAGGGATGGCTACGCTGTCATGCTTCCAACCTCCCCCCCACCCCCCAGTGGGCAGCCTACAGCAGCAGGGACTTTAAATTCCTCAATCCAGAAAGAATCTTCCCCTCCACACCCAGGGCCCATCCTCTTTCCTCCTGTCCCCTCCCCTCTGTTCCTCCTCTTCCTCACCCACTGCTGGTGCTCCTCTCTCCACTGCCCCCAGCTGATTTGGAGGTGGTACGGGGCAAGGGTGGCTCCAGAACCACTCCTGCGCCACTCCAGCTGGGCTGCACATGGAGCCAGGGTCGGGCAGGGATGGCAGCAGTGATGGTGGTTGTGGTAGCAGTTGCTAGACCATGCCTGCTCCTGGGTTGGCAGAGACCACCTGGGGGAACTTGCCTGTCACTGCTGCTGTACCCAGCTGAGCCCAGCTCCCTGCAGAGCCCCACTAAAGCAGACAGAAGTGGCTCTGGAGCCTTCCCTCACCCCAGGAATGGTGGCAATGATGGGCAGGGGAAGGGGGTGAGAGGGGAGGGGAGGGGTGGGAAGAAGATGGGAAGTACCACTGAGCACGGTGGTGAAGGGGGCAGGGGTGGAATACTTGCTTGCCTTGGAGACTTAAAAAATGTCCCCAGTTGCTGTTTCTGTGTCACTGACTGAAAGGGGAGTGTATCCACACCACTGCACCACCTCTGGATCCACCCCGCCTGTCTTACATTGGGATGGGGTGACTTTTATGCTTATATGGATCTGCCATAAATGTAATGTAGAGCCACACCAAGGTAAGGGTCTCATTGTATGGATTCAGTTGCAAGATCAGAATCCAAGTGGTTTACCTTTTTGTAGATGAGATGTCTCAACCTTTGTTCACTGAGATCACTACTTAATACTCCTAATTGTCTCATCATTCCTTGGGCTTCCTTTGTCTTTCTCTCTTTCTCTGCTGTCTCTCTCTAAGCCCTTTGGAGTTGGGACTTTCTTTTTATCATATATGTCTATAATTTAGTACAATGGGGCTACAGTTACTAAGTTTCATGATACTTGACATGTAATTAATCAATTTTGAATTATATTTTGTAATATGTTCTTAAAATTGCAATTAATGCAAAAGACCCAACATGAGTCTCCTGCACTCTTGATAAATCAAACCAACTTGGTAAGTAGAATTACCTTTTTATGGCGCATTGTTTAATGCACTGGCTGATACAGGGAATGTTAAACAGTTCAAGCATGTCAAACAGTGATGATATCCAGTGATCTCTTTCTTTCCTTTCACTGTTCTTACTGTTCAGTCTCTGTGAGATGATTTATTACTCACAGTTTTCACATTTGTATTCTTTTCTTTTTTGTCTTTAAAAAAATGTAATTTATGGTGACTACCAGTGCTGTTTGTTCACACAGTGAAATAATCTGAAACAAAGCCAGTGCATATCTGGAAGTATATGTAATTGGCACGTACATGTTGCTACACCCACTGATAGTTATTTAATGTTTGCAGCCACCCATTCATTAACACTGTTTGTGGCTTACATCCAGCATTCTGGGTGCTTTAGTTTCCAGTTCATGTGAGGGTAAAGTGGGCCAGGCTGGCAAGTAAAGTTTTGCTGGACTTGTGGGTCCCACCGTGAAACAATTTTTCTTTGCAAGTACAGCTAGAAGTAGAATTACAAAAGGCAGCTGCTGCTTCTTTTGCTTCTGAAAATCATTTGTTTCTTGAAAGTATATTTCTTGCACAAATACACTAGATAAGAAAAATATTTTGCTATTGTAAAAAAGACCTCATACACATATAACATAGTAACTTTAACTAGGGCATTGCTATCAGGACCTTCATATTAAAACAACGAGGTCATGTGATTTAAATAACTTCAAAGAATGCTAATGTTATAAAATCAAATATTCAAGAAATGCCAGGATTCAGATTGTCAGTGCAACTAGCTTCTTTGCGATTTTCAGAGGTGTTTAATGTGCCTTGTGTGCATGTGGAAAATGGGTCCCTAATTTGAGAGTTGTGGATTCCAGGAAGTGGCAGGGCACCTAAAGGATGTTGTAGCTCAAAACTCATGAAACTTAAAGTCCCCTTTATGAGTCTAGTGCACAAGCATTCATGAATTTGTTTCGTAAAACCTCTGAGATTTGGTGGCATGATCACCTGTATCTTATATTACAGGAACTGAGATGCAAAGAAATCAAGGCCAGAATTGTCAGGTATTCACTAATGTTGGGTGCCCAATTTAAGACACATGGGAACTGATTTTTAGTTTTGAGTGTCTTATTTCTATAACATTTTGTGTTGGAGCAGTGAGTGCTCATCATTTCTGGCCCCAGGTGTGTCATATTGGGCACCAAGAAAATGAAGGACACGCAATTAGTGTGCAGCTGTGAACACTCTCTTAGTATAGGATAGGCACCACCTGTGCTAGGGTTAGAACGCAAGTTCATAAGGGTGCCATTTAGGTTTCTTAACTATGCTACCTCCCTTCTCTTGAAATTCTCTTGTTTCTTAATTACACACTTTCTAATAGCAATCACTGATGGAAGAGCTCAGCTCTGCAAGCAGCTGACATTATGGCTTATGCGGTCAACAGGGCTTGTTCTGTCTTTCTGCAGAGGAGTGATTTTTAGCATGGGATATTCATGACAGAATACCTTTACATGTTATACTTGTTTTAAGAACAGGGCAGAAATATGCAGGTTAAACAGCAGATATTCACTTAATGGTGGGAAAAGCATGGTATATGATGTCAAAAGAAAGAAGGATATTTGTTTTAATAGACGTTTATAACTGGCTATGCTGTGATGGCTGGAGCTGCAGAAAGACTTGTATTTGGATATGACAGCTATGGGAATATATGTGGCAGGAAGAACATCCCTATTGAAGGAGCACCCCTTTCTGGACAGGATATGACAAGTAAAAAGTAAGTATGTTAACAAATTTAAATGAAGTAAATGCTTGAGATTTGGTCACTGTAGATGTGATACATGATCTATAGGAATTAAAAACTCAGGTCTGTTGGGCCTCTGGTGCACAGTTTCAAGTCTCATAGTTGGTAGGGTCGGAAGGGACCTGAGCAGATCATCAAGTCCGACCCCCTGCCTTGGCAGGAAAAAGTACTGGGGTCAAACGACCCCAGCAAGGTGATCATCTAGCCTCCTCTTAAAGACCCCCCGGGTAGGAGCCTGCACCACTTCGCTTGGAAGTTGGTTCCAGATCCTAGCCGCCCTGACAGTGAAGTAGCGCCTCCTGATGTCTAGTCTGAAACTACCCTCTGGCAGCTTGTGACCGTTATTCCTTGTCACTCCTGGTAGTGCTCTGGGGAACAGGGACTCCCCCAATGCCTGCTGGTTCCCCTAACTAGGTTGTAACAGGCCACAAGATCCCCCCTCAGCCTTCTCTTATGGAGGCTGAACAAGTTCCGGTCCCTTAGCTTCTCCTCGTAGGGCCTGCCCTGCTGCCCCCTGATCATGCGAGTGGCCCTCCTCTGGACCCTCTCCATGTTGTCCACATCCCTCTTGAAGTGCGGCGCCCAGAACTGGACGCAGTACTCCAGCTGCGGCCTGACCAGTGCCGCATAGAGGGGGAGGTCCTTGGACCTGCTTGAGATGCATCTGTGGATGCGTGACAAGGTACGGTTGGCCTTCCTGACTGCATCCCCACACCGCCGGCCCATGTTCATTTTGGCATCAATGATGACTCCAAGATCCTTTTCTGCCTCTGCAGTGACAA